TTGAAGATGGCGCTCATTTTGTTAAAGACCGTTCTTGACTTTCCTATGCGGCACTTTATTTCCTGTACATTGCTCCACTGTTCGTTTATAATAGTTCCCAGGTAGCAATACTGTTTTACTCGCTCTATCTGCGTCCCATTAATGTATAGATGAGCCCCGTTTATATTCTCCTTGCTGATGATTATTTGTTTCGTTTTGTGGGTATTAATGTTTAGTCCGTACTGTTGACTCTACTCGTTTATTCTGTCCATTAGCCTCTGAAGTCCCTCTAAACTATCTGCTATCACCATGGAGTCGTCGGCATATCTAACATTGTTTACTCTTTCATCCCTATCTAACTCCACGTAGTATTTTTATGTGATCTGTTTCTTCTTCGTTAATTTTCATGTATGCGGTATGATTCCAGTAGGGTTCTGAAATTATTCTGAGGTCTTTGTCATCCAGGTCTGCCTCTTTTAAAATGTTTATCACATTTTGATGTTGAACTCTGTCAAATGACTTTTCATAGTCGATCAAGCACGCGTATACGTCGCAGTTAACGTCCCTGCATCTTTGAATCAGTACCTGTACTTCAAAAAGTGATTCTCTGGTACCCACTGCGTTAATGAAGCCGAACTGTCTGTCCGATATTTGTTCCTCGCACTTCTTATAAATTCTTCCATGGATGACTCTAAGAAACAGTTTCAACATGTGGCTCATTAGGCTGATTGTTCGATATTCTTCGCACTTTTTAGCCCCTTGTTTTTTAGGTATCGCTATGAATTCTGATTCTAGCCATTTATCAGGGATGATTCCTTTATTGTATATTTTATTGAAGACAGCCGTGATCCAATTTATTCCTTTTTCCTCCAAGAGTTTTAAAAATTCAGCTTCGATATTATCAGGCCCTACAGCTTTCCTGCTTTTCATCCGTTTTATTGCTTCTTCTTTGTTCTGGTTCTGATCCACTGTTCTGAACCAGAACAAAGACAGTAGGCGCGATAGAACAAGCAGCAAAACTAAAATGGAAATGGGCTGGACACAATGAGCGTCTCCAAGACGGACGATGGAACAATGCCATCGGAAAGTGGCGTCCATACAATGCAAACAGATCAAGAGGCAGACCACAGATGAGGTGGAAAGATGACATCAGAAAACAAGGAGGTCCCACATGGCAGAGAACAGCTCAAGATAGGGAAAGATGGAGAGAACTGGGGAAGACCTATATCCAACAATGGAAGGATAGAGAATAGGTTAAAAAAAAATTTGCTTCTTCTACCTCGGATTTAAGTATGTCCGGTCCCGTCTTCCTCTCTGAAAATGGATGCCTATAATCCGTTCTTTGATCTTGAAAAAGTGTCTCCAAACATTACAAATATATTCTCCATTTGTCTTTCATCTCTTGGGTGTCAATGATTAATTTTCCATTGGTGTCTATGAGTTTCATTTGTGTTCGCTTTTTAAAAGTACCCGTTATTTCTTTTACCTTTTTGTATACATTAGAATTGTCATGCTTGGCTTGTAGTCTTTCTATTTCTTTACATTTCTCTACAGCTTCTTTTTCTTTAGCTTCTCTTATTGTTCTTCTGATGTAAGCCTGCATTTTTTTATACTCATCTTTATTTCCTTTAATTAACCTTCTGCGTTCCATTAAGTGAAGTATTTCTGGAGTAATCCAAGATTTCTTCTTTGTATCTTTGTTTGGTTTTAGCAGATCTTGTTTAGTTTTCTTAATTATTTCTTCGAATTTATTGATTTCTCGTTGGATGTTATTTTCTTCTTTTAGTTGTTTAACTTGGTTGTTAATATATTCCCCCACTTACTTTTTAACTTCCGGATGTTGCAGGGCTGTCATGTCGTAGTTAGGTCTAGACTTTTTCTTTATTGTCTTCAGTCTCACATCCATGACTCCCTAGAACTAGACTAGAAAATTAGTTGCCTTTATTGTACCATGGGTTTCCTTAATTGTACCTGTAGTAACGAACCTATATAGAGGGAACAGTGTACAGTAAAATAAATTTTAGTGTGAATTTCATTAATCATGTTTTTTTTTATTTCAATTAATTTTCCAATATGAGAAATTATTCAGTTTGAATGTACATAATATTTTTATTTACATTCAAAGCAGGAAAAAGTTTGGATTCCAGGTTAGACTCCCGTACAAAGTTCGCGGCTCCATGAAAGACATTTAGTACGCGTTGGATCATGTCTTCAATTCTTTTTTCCTCGCAAATTGAACAGAACCACTCATCAACACACATTTCTATAACAACGTTAGGTTGATTTGAGCTTGACGCGGCATTTAGAAGAACAGACACTGTAGGATTTACATTTCTTTTTTGCTAAGTTTTTCTTGGCAGTTTCTTTGTTCCTTTTAAGACTAACTTTACCTTCTAGTTTTATTTTTCGAGTACTTACAAGTTTCTTGGACGATTTCAGGTTTAATATTCTTCAATTTCATTTTTATTTGTTTTATCTGTTCCTGCGCTAACTGTAGCTGTTTAGCTAATTCTAATTCATTTTTATAGGGACTTTCCGCCAAAACCATTGCCTTTTGTGCTGTTCCCTTCTTCGATTTTGGATCAGGCTTCGGTATCGAAGAAATTTAATCAATTGAAATGTTAACTTTTGGACTTGCTTCTCCAGTTTTTTTAGTAGGCCTATTGTAGTAGTCGTAGCTAAATGGTCTAGGGCTAAGAGTTAGCCCTAGACTCCAGCACAGATCAGAGGTAATGTAAGTCAATAAAACCTCACCAACTACAGGGGGTCATGTAAGATGCCCCCATTTTCAGTTTTTAGTAATCTACAAATCAACAGTTTATTGCATTTACCTTCATAAACACCTTGAGGATAGTTTTTTAATACGGAGTTCTCTACTATGTTTTCACGTGGCCATACAATGTTTTTTTGACAACTTTTTATTAAACTGATGATGGAATGAGTTTATTCGAAAAGATCTTTAAAATAAAAGTTTTAAGCTTTTAATAAGCATTTTTTATACCTTAATACACACGACCACCACGTGCTTTGGAAACAACTTAGTTTTATACACCTATTTTGTATTGGTATACATGATTTTCTTGTATTAATGAATCAAAATGATTGGCACATATATTCCAGATTCTGTGGCTTCCTCATAAAAGATAAATACAGCGGTGGTACAATATTGGCGCTGGTAAAATTTCGGCTACTTTCCCCTATATTCTACATTTCCTATAGTTTTTTCCCAAATCGTTTTATCCCAAAAAGTTTACATTTAGATTTTCAAGTCTAATCTAAAATAGAAGGGGCGACATAGTATAAACTTATACTCCGTATCAGTATCAATCTTTCTTAGCATTTTTTTTAAATATCTGTTAGTGTAGTAAGTTTAAGGGTAACGAAGACTTTATTGGTAAACAATGGTAAACAACATTTGGTTATTGGTTTCTACATTTTTGTACTAAAAGTATGAAAAAAAGTTCCTATTCATAGTTTCCAGGTAATTGATTTGTTGATTTTATTAAGGATTTGAAGATATTTGGTTTAATGTTGACATTGTTTTAACATCTTTACAATAATTCGATCATTCACCTAAATCTGATGAAGCGTATAGTCTTCTTATTATTTAGCACGTTTGCATCAACTACCGGTCAAAGACCTCCCATGAGTTCCCACTCTTGTTTTTTGATATTTGATACCAATTTTTCCCCACTTTTGCTGTGATTTCGTTTAGCAACCATTTTTGTGGTCTTCCTCTACTAAGACTGTGTTCTCGTGTCTACAATGCACAATATTTCTCGTCCATTATATTTTATTTTTATTTGAAAAATCAGATTAATACGCTGCTACATATTCTCCACATTACTGTATGGCATGCTAGAGCTGGACTCATTACAGAAATACTGCAAAACAGAGGACTGAGATGGCAATTACCAGAAATGTGGTTGAGGATGAATTATCCTAAAACATTAATATTTTTGTCTTGACTGAATGAAGTTGGGACTGACAAATAAACACGAATAAGAATCAATTGAAATAAAATGAACTTTAACACTCAATGAATAAGTAAGCACTTTCTGAGAAATAACAAAGTACGAGTTTCATCTGTAAATAGGACTTTTCTCTAGTTGTCTACAGTCCAATTAGAGTATTTTTTTGCCCACAATAGCCTTTGTTTCTTCATTCGTTCAGTTAGATGCTGTTTTTTCTGTTTACACATTGCCCTTCTACCATTCTCCAAAAGTCTTTTCCGAACAGTGGAGTCACGAGTCACTACACCTGATACTAGATCTTGTTGGAGTTCTTGGCTTGTTTTTCTTGGGTCCAATTTGCTCTTTCGAAGTAAAAATCTTTCATCTGCTGGTGTTGTTTTTCTCTTTCTTCGGCATTTTCCTAACCTTTTTACATCCATTGATCATGTTTCTCGTTTACGCTTTAAAATCTTGCTTACTACCCCCTGACTCACTTCACACGTTCTTGCGATTTCTTTTTGTGACATAGAAGTATGTTCAACATGATAATCTTTTCACGCTTCCTAAGCGTAATATCCATGATGGAATTAAACGAAACAAACTCACTAATTACAGAAAACAACACAAAATAGTACAAAACAGCACAAACTTAGTAGGAAATGTCCTAAAACACCCTCAAATAAAAGGCAGAGAAAAGTAAGGCTATGTTTTCAATGCTTGGTCAGTTGTAAATGTGTGGAGAGTGTTGTAACTCTGAATATTGAAAAATGTCACAATGATTGCATTAATTTGCACAATACTGTACTTATTATTACAACTCATTATGTAAGACAAAATTCGTGAAAACCGAAATGTGGGAAGACTATCCTGGTTTAAGAAGCTGAAGTGAATGAACACTGGTACACATAAGTACACAGTATAACAGTAATACACAGTAATTTATGATGATTTTAGTCTTATTGTCTTACCCAATTTCTACTAATAATATTATTAATTATCGCTACTAATACTATTAATTATTATGAATAATAATTTAATTCTGTCCTTCCTATTTTTTGTTTTAAGAGAATGACTACAACCACTACGCCACAGAAGCCAAAACCTACCCAGCCCTCATCCCCGAGAGACTTTTTCCGTAAACTTTATGGCGACCTCGAACCAAAGTCATCGCAGGAGGAGGAGGCCAAATATACCATCGCTCTCAAGAAAACCGACAGCGATATTGTAGCTCCTATACCAATTCTGGCTACGTCCACTTTGCCCTTTATACTTCCACACGCAAGTGATTCTCAACTCGCTGTAGCTGCAGCAGGATTATCAGCATTTTGTAAGTCATTTGTTTCGTCTTATACAAAATATATATTTACAATACAATTTTTTCAAACTTGAAATGTCAAATAATGTGTTGTTCATAACAAAAAAAATATGATGATTTAGTTTTTACATTCTTAGATATTTAATTTAAAAAAAGAAAAAGATACATTCATCGATTTACAAAGTTTATCTATTTATTTAAACAATTTTTTGTACATTCGAAAGTTCATAAAACCGTTCTAGTAAACTATTTTAACTATTTTGTGTCGCTAATTTCTATAAGTACTACATTTTAATATAGAGAAAAATTAATGCCAAGCCAGTATAGAAGCTTCGCTCCAATAAAACATTATCCGAGACATAAATTTTCTTGTAGTAAATTAATACCTGTAACAAGTAGTATCTCATTTATTTTGAACATTTGATTTTCAATTTAAAAACACTCTAAAAGACAATGTGAAATTAAAGTAACCTCTGCTCAGTATAATGCTGTAGAAGGCATGATTATAGGAATGCATTCTCATCGCTTTCCTCCCACAAGCGGGTATTCACATGTTTCTCATATCTTCTCCAATGTCAAGAAATTTTGCCCTGGATCTTCGCCTGTCTAATAAGTCTATCAAGAAATGCTTTTCTTACTAACCCATTTTGCTATGGTTTTTGGTGTATTTCCTTCAGTTCGAAGTCTTTTCCAAATACCATTGTCATTCACTAGGTACTCTTCAAATTCCTCTCAGTATTTTATTTTCAAAACATCAAATAGGTTTCCATTATTTTTTGTTAGAGTTTTAAGTCGCTGAGTCGGACTGGTCATATTAACGTTCTGTATAGTTTTACCTTCTAGAACAGAATATAATTTCCCGACGCATTTGATGATTTGAAAAGAGGATTCGGCCTAAAATAGAAACTAATAGCAGTGCATATTCTGCGTTTTGTCTTCGGGAGTCTACTCTTTCAGTTGTTGTTAAATATTCCCTGGTATACAAATTCGTTGTCACCGTAGGGTTTTTTTTTTTCTAAAATTGGTTACTTCGATGTTTAACATAAATACATTTCATCGACTAATCAAGATTATGGCGTTATAGTGCTGCACTACTATACGTTCAAATATTTGATAGCTGTTCTATAATGACTTCTTCTTCTTCCTGTTTATAAGCAATTTTCTTGTTGTATTAAATGGCCAACTATATGGCCTAGGAGACAAATTCGTTAAACTTCCCGTGCTCGAATTGGTATCACTAAAGTGTTATGATCATTTCGGCCTATCCCAGCCATCGTCAGACACTTGGGCTGATACAAATTCAAACTCGGAAAGTAAAACGAATGTGTAAAACATTCGTTTTACTTTCCGAGTTTGAATTTGTATCAGCCCAAGTGTCTGACGATGGCTGGGATAGGCCGAAATGATCATAACACTTTAGTGATACCAATTCGAGCACGGGAAGTTTAACGAATTTGTCTCCTAGGCCATATAGTTGGCCATTTAATACATACAGCGATAGCGGCTTTCGCTAAAAGATTTTATTCTTTACACATTTCGCATAGCATAAAGGATACAGAAAACGATTATTCATATCGTTTCGTTCACGGCCTTCAAAATAGAGGGCGCCTTTATAAGCTAACTACACGGTAGTGAAGATTGGGAGACATTCGTTTTACTTTCCGAGTTTGAATTTGTATCAGCCCAAGTGTCTGACGATGGCTGGGATAGGCCGAAATGATCATAACACTTTAGTGATACCAATTCGAGCACGGGAAGTTTAACGAATTTGTCTCCTAGGCCATATAGTTGGCCATTTAATACATACAGCGATAGCGGCTTTCGCTAAAAGATTTTATTCTTTACACAATTTTCTTGTTCTTTGGCAGATTAATACCTCTATGGAAGGTTGTCACTCCATCTTTTGCGCGGTCGTCCGATAATTCTTTTTCCGATTGATGACTTATCTCTTGCTATTTTGACGACACAGGTCTCCTCCATTCTGCTTATATGGTTATTCCATTCTTTTTTTCTATTTTGTGTCCATTCATTTATACACTGTACTTTATATTTTCTTTTAATGTCTTCACTTCTCTTTCGATCTCTCAGCGTATTTCCTGTAATTCTTCTTAGTACTCTCATCTTTGCCGTTTCCAGTAGCCTTTGCGTTGTGGCTGTGTCGGGTCTTGTTTCTGGGGCATATGTCATTATTGGTCTTACATTGGCTTTATAAATTCTTGACTTCATCTCAGTGTTGTGTCTGTTTCGCCATATAGTTTTATCAAGGCATCCTGTCAGTCTATTTGCTTTTTGTACTTGATCTCTCACTTCTTTGTCCAGGTCTCCGTAGCTGGACAGTGTAATTCCCAGGTATTTTATTTCCATTGCTTGTTCAATACTCATGCCATCAATTCCTATTTTACATCTGGTTGATTCTTTGCTGACTACTGTTGTTTTAGTTTTCTGAGATGTGATTGTTATATTAAATTATTTTGCTCTTATGTTACATCTGTGGACTAGTCTTTGCACACTATCTTCATCTTGGGCTATCAATATTGCATCGTCAGCGTAACAGAGTATTTCGTTTTCTTTGTTTTCCATTCTATATCCTCTTCTTTTGTTAACGATTTTGATGATTTCTATAGGTTCTGTAAGTTCCATCTATTCTGACTTCCATTTTGTTGTTTTGGTAAATGGTTTCGATAGTTTATATAATATTTAGGGGAACTTCTCTATTACACAGAAGATGTATTATATCTTTGAGTCTTACTCTGTCAAACCCTTTCTTTAGGTCATTGAAACACAGAAATGCTGGTCTATTATACTCTAGAGATTTCTCAGTAATTTGCTTTATAACGAATATTGCATCTGTACACGTTTTAGAGCAGTATTTAACAAGTTTATAATTTTAATAATTCATTTTGTTAATTGTTCTGTCATTGCTGTTCTGTCAGCTGTTCTTCAGCTTTTTAAGTAATTTTCGAACTTCTTGAAGATTTATATTAAGTTCTTCATTTGTGATCATTTCTCGTGTTTCCGGTTCTCGCCACGTTTATTCTTCCTCTGCATAGAGCTTTTTTAGGTAGTCAGTCCATGTATCCTTTTCTATGTGTTTTGGTTATATTAGTTCCTTTACCTCCGTTCTTTGACCCCTTATGAAGCGCCATAAGAGGTCAAAGACCGTAGACCGTTTCCTTTTGCAGACCGTAAAAATCATGTTCCATTTCTTTCAAAAAGTGTACCCAGTGATCATTTTTTATTTTTCTTTCAAGTGCATGTGTTTCGTCTCTAATTTTCTTGTAAATGTGGTATGCCTCTTGTGTTTTGGTTGACAGGTATTTCAGGTAAGCTTTTTTCTTTTCTTTACATTTTTCCTTCACTTCTAAGAATTAAGATATTAAACTTAATTTTTGCCCAGCTTTCTTAGACCCCATCACTTTCTGTGATATATGTGTTTCTGCTGTTTTCGGTTATTCTTTTTTCCAAGAGGAATCTTATGAAGTCATTCTGTAAGCTTTCGACTTTTATCTTTGTGGTGTATTCTGCTGTTTTGTTATCACTTATATGTGTTTTCGTTCGGATTTTGCACAATACCAATTTATGATCGCTTCCTATTTCTGCTGATGTTAGTGCTCTTACATATAAGCTCTCTATTCGACAGAATAGAGTCTATCATAGATCTTTGTCCTCCACTGTTTCGTTTATGCTGCAGAGGTCCGTCAACTATCCATCTCTCATTCATTAAATTTAAATTTTCCTCCGTTACGCATAATATTAGTCTTCCACAATGACTTATATATTATTATGGAGAGACGTCATTGGGAAAATTCGACGTTAGAACTTCGACTCTTCTCAATATGCGACATTCCGTGGGTTGATAAATATTTCCTCCCACATTTCCTACTCCACTCGTCACTGGCAACAATGCTTTCCATTCTGAATTCTTCAGCTGTGCAAAACTAATCCCATCATAATAATATTTTACATTTTCATATTGTTATGGACTTAACTGTTCTCTCTTTATCTTTCGATTCGCTGCTGTGAGAACGGACACCTTGCAATTTTGCGACTTCAAATCTGTTCCATCACATCTACCCAATCGTAAAATATTTCCCGGTTAAAACTTGTTTTATTTTTCTTTTTAGGTTTATATTTTTTATTAGTAATAAATAGACTTCGGCAAATATGCAAATAAAAATGTAGAAAATATGCGCATAAATATGCACGTGTTTACCCGAAAATATGCAAATATTTTACAAAATATGCATACAAATAAATAAAAAAATCGTAAAATAGTAACAATTTTATTAAAAAAAAAGTGTACATTACTAAATATTTCCTACTATTCATTAAGATTTACATTTATTTTAAGTAACTACATCATTTTTAAGTATGAATAAACTTATTTAGAATTATGGTAACAATAAATGACCAAGTGGTGTTCAAAATTTTCTAACAAAAACTTGTGGCTTCTGTCTGAGTACATATATTTATATATGGAAAAACTTCGTTCAACATCAACTGATGTTGAGTAACGGGAGCATTTTTCAAACTAACCAAAACATTTGGTTCTAAATTAATTGTTTCCGAAATATTTCCAGCTAGAACACTGACTACTTCAGAAAGAATATGGTAACCTTTATTTTTTTCCATAGTAGCTTCAAATTTTTTTAAAATATCTTTTCCAATATTACCTCTAACGTTCCGACAACATGATGCAAATTCTTTTATTAATGCTGTACTCTCGAACAATCACAGTTTTGGTGATTCTAACTGAGTAATTGTTTTTTGAACAAAACTAAAATTAGATTTTATAAATGAAAGTTCGTGTTGAAGCAAGTTACTCTGAAAAGTTTGTTTAGAATCCAAAAGAGATTGGGAACTTTCATCTGTTAACGTATCAATTATGTTCTTTATTTTAACAAAATGATCTGCATAAAAATTAGCTGCTTCTAACCATGTTCTCCATCGCGTTAAAATAGGTTGTGGTGGAAGAGGAATGTTAGGTAGCATTTCTTTATAAAGTTGAATTC